CAAACGGGCCTTTTTCTTCAGAAGAAGACACGAATTCGTCTACTCGCGAATAGAGAAGCAGAGAAGAAAACCTCTACCTGCACACACATATGTTCTCGTCTACGTATATATATATGCATGTTTATACGTTTACACATATGCACATATACAGGTATACATAGGTATATATAGGTATATATGTATACACATACATGCATATACATATATAGAGAGAGTATTGAGCGTGCGCCTTTCAAGAAGCCATGAATTCGTCTACTTGGAGACAGAAAAATAGACAATAAGACGAACACGTGCACGCTTGTATAGTAACGGGTGTTTTCTTCACAACAAGACATGTACTGGTATCCTTGCATGCGTATACCGCATCAGATTCTTATGCACGCATGCCGGTCTAGCCACAGCTTCTTATAGTTGCATGGGTATATAGCAACACATTCTTATACTTGCATGCGTCTATAGCAACACATTCTTATACTTGCATGCGTATATAGCAACACCTTCCTATACTTGCATGCGTATATAGCAACACCTTCTTATACTTGCATGCGTATATAGCAACACATTCTTGTACTTGCATGCGTATATAGCAACACCTTCCTATACTTGCACGCGTATATAGCAACACCTTCTTATACTTGCATGCGTATATAGCAACAAATTCTTCTACTTGCATGCGTATATAGCAACACATTCTTATACTTGCATGCGTATATAGCAACATATTCTTATACTTGGATGCGTCTACAGCCACAGCTTCTTACACGTGCACGCGTATATAGCAACAACTTCTTCTACTTGCATGCGTCCGTAGCAACACATTCTTATACTTGCATGCGTATATAGCAACACATTCTTATACTTGCATGCGTATATAGCAACATATTCTTATACTTGGATGCGTCTACAGCCACAGCTTCTTATACGTGCACGCGTATATAGCAACAAATTCTTCTACTTGCATGCGTCCGTAGCAACACATTCTTACACTTGCATGCGTATATAGCAACAGATTCTTATACTTGCATGCGTATATAGCAACACCTTCTTATACTTGCATGCGTATATAGCAACATATTCTTATACTTGGATGCGTCTACAGCCACAGCTTCTTACACGTGCACGCGTATATAGCAACGACTTCTTCTACTTGCATGCGTCCGTAGCAACACATTCTTATACTTGCATGCGTATATAGCAACACACTCTTATACTTGCATGCGTATATAGCAACATATTCTTATACTTGGATGCGTCTACAGCCACAGCTTCTTACACGTGCACGCGTATATAGCAACAACTTCTTCTACTTGCATGCGTCCGTAGCAACACATTCTTATACTTGCATGCGTATATAGCAACACATTCTTATACTTGCATGCGTATATAGCAACATATTCTTATACTTGGATGCGTCTACAGCCACAGCTTCTTATACGTGCACGCGTATATAGCAACAAATTCTTCTACTTGCATGCGTCCGTAGCAACACATTCTTATACTTGCACGCGTATATAGCAACAGATTCTTATACTTGCATGCGTATATAGTAACCGACTCTTATACTTGCAGGCGTATACAGCATCAAATAGCATGAAGCTGTTATTCACGAAGAGGCTTACCCCTTATTATATTGGGCAATGAGTAGCTCCGTGTCAGATGTTCTCTCCTTCAGCCAATTCGTTTTCGATTGTGCCGTCTCCACTGTGACATGCGTATATAGCCACAGCTTCTTATACTTGCATGCGTATATAGCAACAGATTCCTATGCTTGCACGCGTATATAGCAACAGATTCTTATACTTGCATGCGTATATAACAACAGCTTCTTCTACTTGCATGCGTATGTAGCAACAGACTCTCATACTTGCACGCGTATGTAGCAACAGATTCTTAAGCTTGCATGCGTATATAACAACAGCTTCTTATACTTGCATGCGTATGTAGCAACAGGTTCTTCTACTTGCGCGCGTGTATAGTAACAGACTCTTACACTTGCATGCGTATATAGCAACATATTCTTATACGTGCATGCATATAAAACAACAGCTTCTTATACTTGCATGCGTATGTAGCAACAGGTTCTTCTACTTGCACGCGTATATAGTAACAGACTCTTATACTTGCACGCGTGTATAGCAACAGATTCTCAAGCTTGCATGCGTATATAGCAACACCTTCTAGTATTTGCACGCGTATATAGCATGAAGCTGTCATTCACAAAGGGGCTTACCCCGTATCAGATTGGGCGATGAGTAACAGATTCTCATACTTCCATGCATATACGGCAGCAGATTCTCATAGTTGTATGCGTATATAGCAAGAGATTCTTATGCTTCCATGCGTGTTGAGCATGCGTATGTAGCAGCAGATTCTTATACTTGCATGCATATATAGCAACAGGTTCTTACAGTTGCATGCGTATATAGCGTGAAGCTTCTATTCACACAGAGGCTTACCCCATATTATGTTGGGCAGTGAGTAACACATTCTTATACTTGCATGCATATATAGCAACGGATTTTTATACTTGCACGCGTATATAGCCACAGCTTCTTATACTTGCATGCGTATATAGCAACAGATGCTTATACTTGCATGCGTATATAGCAACAGTTTCTTACACTTGCAAGCGTATGTAGCATGAAGCTGTTATTCATAAAGAGGCCTACCCCATACTATGCTGGGCAATGAGTAACACACTCTTGTACTTGCATGCATATATAGCAACGGATTCGTATACTTCCACGGGTATATAGTCATAGATTCTTATACTTGCATGCATATGTAGCCACAGCTTCTTATACTTGCATGCGTATATAGCAACAGATTCTTATACTTGCACGCGTATATAGCATGGAGCTGGCGTTCATAAAGAGGCTTACCCCGTATTATATTGAGCGATGAGTATTAGATTCTAATACTAGCATGCGTATGTTGCGAGAGCTTCCTCCACTTACAAGCGTATATAGCCACCGCTTCTTATACTTGCATGCGTATATAGCAGCAGGTTCTTATACTTGCATGCGTATGTAGCCACAGCTTCTTATACTTGCATGCGTGTATAGCCACAGATTCTTAAACTTGCCTGCGGATATAGCATGAAGCTGTTATTCGCAAAAAGGCTCACCCCATATTGAATTGGGCAATAAGTAGCTCCGTGTCAGATGTTCTCTCCTTCAGCCAATCCGTGTTTGATTGGGCCATCTCCACAGTGCAAGGTTCCTGGTTGTTTGGGCATAGGCAAGTACCTGCAACGTGCGCAAGCGGAGCAGTACATGCCTCTCCTGCGAACTTCACCCCTCCACACAATCAAAAGCTGACTCTCTTTCTGTCCTACGTACATGCATATATATATTTACATATATATATACATATATATATATATATATACTGGTATACCAACAGTCCACAGTATATATTTGTGGTTCTAGTAGGACACGCAGCTGAACACAGTCTGTGAACACTGAAGAGAATATATCTGACTTCTTCTTCTCTCTGGACTTTCCACGAGTAGGTCCCGTGAACCATATCAGATGTTCTCTCCTTCAGCCAATCCGTATTTGATTGTGCCCTCTCGACAGTGCACTCTACCTGCTCTCTGTGGCATTTGCAAGTAGCTGCAGCGTGCGCAAGCCACGCATTACATGCGTCTGCTGCGAATTTCACCCGCCCAGACAATCAATAGCTGAATCCCTCTCTGTTCTACGTGTATGCATATATATATATATTTACGTATTTGTACATATATATAAATATATATATATATATATATATATATATATATATATGTGTATACCTACAATCCACTGTGTATATTTGTGGTTGTAGTAGAGTACGCAGTCGAACACAATCTCTAAACACTGAAACGAATGTATTCAACTTCTTCTCGCTCTGGACCTTCCAGCTATAGATGCCATAAGCCGTATCAGATGGCTCTCCTCCAGCCAATCCGTATTTGTTTGTGCCATCTCCACAGTGCGAGGTACTTGCTCTCTGTGGCCTTCGCAAGTACCCGCAACATGCCCGAGTGGAGCAGTGCATGCGTCTCCTGCTAATTCCAGAGGGTAGGCGAAGCATGCGTACGTCAATACGTTTCTGTACGTATCACTGCGAAACAGCTTGGAGGACATATATTAGACGTAAATGTATATCTATATATGTATACATACATATATATAGAGATATATAGATACTGCAACACCACAGAACAAAGCTGCAGCATATCTTGGTCGGCAAGGCCGTCACAGAAGGAAGAGACAGCACACACTGTCTCTACTACTACTACTACCGCTACAACTACTACTCCTACTATTACTACCACTACTGCGAGTCGAAGAGCGTGTGTGGCGGCGGGGTCAACTTGGGAGGCCAGCTTCAGCCTTAACGCGTGAGTGACTTGATATATATATATATACATATATATATGCATATACAAATGTGTGTATATATATATATATATGCATATATGTGTATATACATATATCCGTACGTCACTGCCGCCGCCGAGCAAGCCGAGTCATCCACGGTGTTCTCGCTGTTTTTGTTGTTGCTGCTCATGTTGTTGCTCCTGTTGTTGTCGTCTGTCTCGCACGTCTGACCGAGCACCGTGGCTTCCTAGCCACCTCTATGGTCTTACCCAACGCGTGTCCCCGGCTCTTCTTGGGACGGCATGCCATGCCTTTCTGCAGTTCTGCAAAAGAGCGTCAGGAACACGAAGACAGAAGAAACGGATGCGTGTATGAACTCAGCAGCTACCCCCCGCTTGCCCATCCCGGCCTTCTCCCCTCTCGGCAACTCATGCAAGGTCTTCTTCCACACATATATATGTATATACGCGTGTATATATACATATATATGTATATGGATGTATGTATACATGTATGGCACACGAGAGCGTAGAGCAGACTACCCTTTCTTTTAGGCAGCGCCTCACTTCGGTCTTATGTGGCAAGCTCCGCCATCTCATCAAGTCTTCATAGGGCATATACATATATATATATATATACGTATATAGATCTATATATACAAACATAACCATATACATTTATATACACAGCGAGACAGCCATAGTGTCCTGCACCGCATTTACTAGCGCATGATGCTTGGCGGCCTTCTTACTGGGAGTACAGGAGTACTAGAAACACACGAACGCCTACTACACTTACTGATATATTCTATTGATTCATATATATATATATATATATATACATGTATATACATGTATATTTATATTGCTATGCTGCCATGACTGCTGCCATGGACAAGATCGACAAGCGCGCCTACACTCACTGGTATATATACTGATATATACATCTATATATACATACATATATGTACATATATATATGTATGTATATATATATGTCTTGTGATATTGCTATGCATCCAAAGAGACAGCCATAGTGTCCTGCGCTGCATCTACTAGCGGATGATGATGCTTGGCAGCCTCCTTACTGGGAGTACAGGAGTACATGAAGGACAGCCAGAGGTCTCCTTTTTCGAGGCAGGGATGTACGTAGAAGAGCGACTCCCACGTTTGGGTTTGTTAGCGTGCACTTGTTATAGGTAGTCCCCATCGACTGCACGCAGGCTTGCTGGATCTTCTGCGTCACCTCATATTTCGCACATCTCCTGCCTAAGCTCCCCTGATACTCCATATCTGCTTTTTCCATCGTGAACATGGTATTCTTCGGACAGTCGCCTACCCACGTCGCAGGTTCTCTTGCTGTGTGCCTTGTTGTTACTCTTATTATATGCTCTAGACGCGAAAACAACACGGCCACACACATGTAGAGCTCAAGATGGCTCTCGGAGAACAAGGCTACGTCGTGAACAGGAAGAAGAAGAAAATGAACACGAAGAAGAAGAAGGTGACGAAGAAGAGTCTAAGACGTCGTGAAGAAGAAGATGATGAAGGAGAGTTCAAGACTTCGAGAAGAAGATGACGAAGGCGAGTCTAAGACGTCGTGAAGAAGAAGACGATGATGAAGAAGAGTTTAAGAGGGAAGAGGCGCCAGGAGCGGCAGCGTCTGCGCGGGCGACTATTCAGGCGTCTATGGGAGTATGCAATGGCGGCCACTGTGATGACTACACAGCGACTCACACGTTGAGCCCAGTATGGCTCCTACTGTTCAAGCGTCTATTGTAATATGCTCCTCGTCAGTGGCTGTCAGTGTGGTGATTACACGGCGACACACACGCTCCTACTACTCAAGCGTCTATTGTAGTATGCACCTCCTTAGTGGCGGTGACTGTGGTGATTACACGGCGACACAGACGTAGAGCCCAGTATGGCTCCTGCTATTCAAGCGTCTATTGTAGTATGCACCTCCTTAGTGGCGGTCACTGTGGTGATTAAACGGCGACACAGACGTAGAGCCCAGTATGGCTCCTGCTATTCAAGCGTCTATTGTAGTATGCACCTCCTCAGTGGCGGTCACTGTGGTGACTACACGGCGACACACACGTAGAGCCCAGTATGGCTCCTACTATTCAAGCGTCTATTGTAGAATGCACCAGAGTCCTGTACGGCTCCTACTATTCATGCGTCTGTGGTAGTATGCACCTCCTTAGTGGCGGTCACTGTGGTGACTACACGGCGACACACACGTAGAGCCCAGTATGGCTCCTACTATTCAAGCGTCTATTGTAGAATGCACCAGAGTCCTGTACGGCTCCTACTATTCATGCGTCTGTGGTAGTATGCACCTCCTTAGTGGCGATCACTGTGGTGACTACACGGCGACACACACGTAGAGCCCAGTATGGCTCCTACTATTCAAGCGTCTATTGTAGAATGCACCAGAGTCCTGTACGGCTCCTACTATTCATGCGTCTGTGGTAGTATGCACCTCCTTAGTGGCGGTCACTGTGGTGACTACACGGCGACACACACATAGAGCCCAGTATGGCTCCTACTATTCAAGCGTCTATTGTGGTATGCACCAGAGTCCTGTACGGCTCCTACTATTCATGCGTCTGTGGTAGTATGCACCTCCTTAGTGGCGATCACTGTGGTGACTACACGGCGACACACACGTAGAGCCCAGTATGGCTCCTACTATTCAAGCGTCTATTGTAGAATGCACCAGAGTCCTGTACGGCTCCTACTATTCATGCGTCTGTGGTAGTATGCACCTCCTTAGTGGCGGTCACTGTGGTGACTACACGGCGACACACACATAGAGCCCAGTATGGCTCCTACTATTCAAGCGTCTATTGTGGTATGCACCAGAGTCCTGTACGGCTCCTACTATTCATGCGTCTGTGGTAGTATGCACCTCCTTAGTGGCGATCACTGTGGTGACTACACGGCGACACACACGTAGAGCCCAGTATGGCTCCTACTATTCAAGCGTCTATTGTAGTATGCACCAGAGTCCTGTACGGCTCCTACTATTCATGCGTCTGTGGTAGTATGCACCTCCTTAGTGGCGATCACTGTGGTGACTACACGGCGACACACACGTAGAGCCCAGTATGGCTCCTACTATTCAAGCGTCTATTGTAGTATGCACCAGAGTCCTCTACGGCTCCTACTATTCATGCGTCTGTGGTAGTATGCACCTCCTTAGTGGCGGTCACTGTGGTGATTACACAGCGACACACATGTAGAGCTCAGTATGGCTCCTACTATTCCAGCGTCTACGGCAGTATGCGCCTCCTCAAAGGCGGTCAGAGTGGTGATTACACGGCGACGCACACGTAGAGACCAGTATGGCTCCTACTATTCCAGCGTTTATGGTAGCATGCGCCTCCTCAAAGGCGGTGAGTGTGGTGATTACACGGCAACGCACACGTAGAGCCCAGTATAGCTCCTACTATTCAAGCGGCTATTGAAGTATGCACCAGAGTCCTGTACGGCTCCTACTATTCAAGCGTCTATGGTAGTATGCGCCTCTTCAAAGGCGGCCAGTATGGTGATTACACGGCGACACAGACGTAGAGCCCAGTATGGCTCACTATTCGAGCGTCTATTGTTATACGCACCTCCTCAATGGCGGTCATTGTGGTGATTATTACGTCATATGTTGTGGCATTTGCCTCTGCCTCAGCTCTGCCTGCCTCCTACAGGGACAGGAGCTCAGCTTTTGCATGGCTCCTACTACTCAAGCGTCTACTGTAATATGCACCTCCTCAAGGGCGGTCATTGTGGTGATTACGTCAGGTATGTATGACAGAGACAGGAGCTCAGCCTTTGCATGGCTCCTACTACTCAAGCGTCTATTGTAATATGCACCTCCTCAAGGGCGGTCATTGTGGTGATTACGTCAGATGTTGTAGCACTTGTCTCTTACCCACCTCTGCCTGCCGCCCGCATAGAGAGCAGCTCAGCCTTCTGCAGCTACTTCTGCAAGCGCTCACATGCGACCGCCGGTACACTACGGCTGTGCGTATATATATATACACACAAGCGTATATATGTACATATATACATATATACATAGATATATACATATATTTTTTAGGAATTCTGCGGAGCCTTCATGTATATACATGGCCGTGTATACGCCGGTATGTACTTCGTTCCTATCTATAGCGGATGGTGGTGCCTTTGACGAAGGCCACTACCTGTGCTTTGCCTGCCTCTCTCGTCGCCCTCGTGCGTCCGAACAGCTGCAAGCTCTCTCTTGTCTTCTACATATATGCAGATATAAATACATATATATGTGTAGATATATACATGCAGTATGGATGTATTTCTTATGCCTGTACGCGGGCTTCTCATCTTTGATTTAGGCCACATTTTTAGCACATTTGGATCTAGATCACGTTCTTCGCACATTTGACCGGGGATCGCTGCTGTCGAACTTCTCTTTCTTCAGACGAGCAGCAATTCTGTTGTCTTGTGTAAGTCTGCAGGGCTCTGACGCTGACGCTGACCGTTGGTTCTTCGTAATTTCTTCATCAACTCAGATTACACTCTTATTTTACTAGGTCACCTATCACTGCTGTCGGGCTTTCCTTGCCGCAGACGGGCAGTAATTGCGTTGTCTTGTGTATGTCTGCAGGGCTCTGACAGTGACCGCTGATACTTCGTGTAGATTACGTTCCTACTATATACGATCGCCTAGCACTGCTGTCGGGCTTCCCTTTCTCCACACGGGCAGTAATTCTGCGAACTTCACTTTCTCCAGGTACGAGCAGTAATTCTATTGTCTGGTGTATGCGTGCGGGGCTCTGACACTGACCGGTGATACTTCGTGACATCTTCACCAATCCAGATTACGTTCTTATTCCTTTTGGTTGCCTGTCAGTGCTGTCGGACTTCCCTTCCCCCAAACGCGAGCAGTCATTCTGCGAGCTTCCCTTTCTCAATGTATAAGCAGTACTTCTGTCGTCTTATGTATGTCTGCAGGGCTTTCACACTGACCGTTGATACTTCGTAATCCCTTCATCAACTTCGATTACGTTCCTATTCCTTTTGGTCGCCCTATCGCTGCTGCTATCACTGTTGCCGGACTTGTCTTTCTCCAGATACGAGAAGTCATTCTGCAAGCTTCCTTTTCTGCAGATACAAGCAGTACTTCTGTTGTCTTATGTATGTCTGCAGGGCTCTGACAGTGACCGTTGAATCTTCGGAAGTCTGCACAGAAAGCTGATGAGTGGAGCTGCAAAGGTACAGCGACTAGGTTTGCGCGTAGGTTGAAAGGAAGGCAAAAGGCAGGCAAGGCTGACGGTGGCTGTGCTGTCTGTGCGCGTAGGATGGAAGAAAGGCAGAAGGTAGGCAAGCCTGACAGCTGTGCTGCCTGTGCGCGTAGGATGGAAGGAAGGCAAAAGGCAGGCAAGCCTGACGGTGGCTGTGCTGTCTGTGCGCGTAGGATGGAAGAAAGGCAGAAGGTAGGCACGCCGGACGGTGCCTGCGCTGTGTGTGCGCGTTGGACGGAAGGGAAAAAGTAGGCAAGCCTGACAACTGTGTATGCGCATAGGAAAGAAGGCAAAAGGTAGGCAGGCCTGACAGCTGGTGCGTAGGAAGCAAGGCAAAAGGTAGGCTAGCCTGACGACTGTGTGTGCACATAGGAAAGAAGGCCAACGGTAGGCAGGCCTGACGGCTGGCGCGTAGCAAGCAAGGCAAACGGTAGGCAAGGCTGGAGATTCTGCGGGTGCGCGTAGGAAGGAAGCAAGGCAAAAGGCAGGAAAACGCCTGACGACTGCGTGTGCGCGTAGGAAGGTAGCCAGGTAGGCAAGCCTGACGACTGTAAGTGCGAGTAGGAAGGTAGTCAGGTAGGCAAGTCTGACGACTGTGTGTGCGAGTAGGAAGCACGGGGAAAGGTAGGCAAGCTTGACGGTTGTGCGTCCACGTAAGAAACAAAAGGCAGGTAGGCGAGCTTCACGACTGTGTGTGCGCGTAGGAAGCAAGGCAAAAGGTAGGCAAGTTTGACGGCTGTGCTGTGCGCGCGCGTAGGATGGAAGGAAGCCAAAAGGTAGGCAAACTTGCTGTGCCGTGCGTGCGCGTAGGGTGGAAGGAAGGCAAAAGGTAGGCACGCCTGACCGCTGTGTTGTCTGTGCGCCCAGGATAGAAGGAAGGCAAAAGGTAGGCAAGCCTGACGACTGTGTGCACGGGTAGGAAGGTAGCCAGGTAGGCAAGCTTGACGACTGCGTGAGCGCGTAGGAAGCAAGGCTGAAGGTAGGCGAGCCTGACAACTGTGTGTCCGTGTGGAAACCGAAAGGCATATAGGCACGCTTGACTACTGTGTGTGCGCGTGGGAAGCAAGACAAAAGGTAGGCAAGCCTGACGACTGTGTGTGCGCGTAAGGAGCGAGGCGATAGGTAGGCAAGCCTGACGACTGTGTGTCCGCGTCAGAAACAGAAGGTAGGCAGGCAGGCTTGACGACTGCCTGTGCGCGGAGGAAGGAAAGCAAAAGGTAAGCAAGTCTGAAGATTCTGTGTGCGCGTAGGAAGCAAGGCAAAACGTAGGCAAGCCTCACGACTGTGTGTGCGCGTA